CGAAAATTTCGAACGATACAACTTCGGTGCCAGAGCGTCTTAGAGAAATCGTAATAATTATTTCATAAACATAAATTAACAAATCTGATCGAAAATTTCTTAACGTTCACTATTTTTTCGTGTTGCTTTTCTAGTAATAAATGTTTATATGATTTCGTTTTTATTTACTTTAAATTGAGTTCCCTTTAATTTCTCATCCGTTATAATTATGTGTAATCGTATTTTATAACTCAAAAACATTCGTAAATTTTGAATTAATAATTAAATTGGATCGACAAAATTAAAATATGATTCTGTTCTGTAGGGCCCGCCAAAAATATTCTTTCATCGACAGAGGGTGAAAAGTTTCAGAAATAGCACTGTAGAGTCTCCACTCTTCACGGACAAAGAATTTAATACCTTAACCGTCTGTGACGCTGATTTTATTCATACTTTGTTCGAATTCCACGTTCGATAACGCGTTTCGCAAAAGATATGCAGCGTTTTTCCCCTAATTTGTAGAAATTACACGTGGCTATTACTATGACGAAGAAAGGAGCTCTGTGGCGCTGTTTTGCTACGGGTAGGGACTCTGAGAATTCGTAGGACAGAAATCGTTCGAGTCTGCTAAGTAGACTCATCAGTAAGGCTTCCTAGCAGACCCTTTAGACGACTGGGATATTGGGAAGTCGGTCAAAGATTGTATATTATAGTAACCGAGGGGTCAGTCGAGCGCTTGTGAGAGCGCGACCCCTCTAGTGGCAAGCATGGGAGGTGACGCCACAACTCGGATAAGAAAAGGCGGTCGGCGTGGTTGATGCAATTAACTGACGTAGAAAGCGATTATCAGAAATTAGTTACACTTTTTTCACTGAACGCACGCAGGGTAATCACTGAATTCATTGGTACGCAGTCGTTGTTTTAAAATTAACTTTGTACTATACTTGGTATAGTTCCTTCTTGTTCTCATACTTTGAGCTTTGAACTAACTTTCTTCTTAGATGGTGTTCCAGCAAAACACTAACTTTTTTTTAACAATTCATTGATGTAATTAAAGGCTGTCTCTCTAATATTAACCACTGTTAATTAAGAAACGAATATTCGTTTAGGATTGCTACACCGATCCTGTGCACTTAAAATAATATAAAATGTAGAATATACTACAGAAATTACGTATTGACTAAAAAAAAAACCTACAATGTTAAGTACAGTGTATTTTTGTTATTCTTTTAAATTTGATTACATCAGATTTGTTCTGTATATGTATATTTTCCATCTACTAATTGTTTTGAGTAGTATAATAATGCTAGTATTGACGTTGATAGCATTGACAAACCTGTACAATATTGACATTGGTAGGTCTGATAATTGGAGGGCTGATACAGATTTCTAGCTTGTTTAATATTTACAGTTTACTTGCAACTACGATGCAAATTCAAGACAATTTAAATTTTAAAGTTTTAATAATATTTTCCGAATAAGCCTGCATCCAAGTGTTACTTGCAATTAATTAGCAATTATTACTTTTATACAGAATACACTAAACAAATTAAAATTAGATATAATTATTTTACACGTCAAAGCAATATACTAATAAATGTTGGCAGTAGTCGCTTTACATTATGCAAATAGTAATTCTAATAAATTCAATGATTACCCTATAAAATCGTTGTTTTCGTTGCATCGCGTTGCACTCTAACGCTCTTAAATAATAACGTACGATCAAATAAGCTGATCAAAGTCGTCTTTTATAAAAAAAAGGATCCCTCGTTGATCGAAATACAGCCAATCAGATTGACCTTGTAATAAGATATTCTGTAAGATAAATTTTCGCGAAGAAATTAAATGCAACAGGAATGAATATTACTATTATATATTAAATAAATACAGAATAGCTGTGCTCATTACGAAACAGAATATTCTGTAAACTTGTTTTTCCGAAATTAAAAACAAAACATAACTCGTAATGTCAATTTGCTACCTGCGCTCTTTGCCAGTTCAAATTTCATTCTTTTGCATCCAATTTCCTCAAAGTTCACACTTTTAAGGTATTTCTATTATCAAACTATAATAATGTCTTGTACATGTTTTCTGATCACGGCAATAAGAACAAATAAATTGCGTTATGTGAACAAAGGTTTTCTTAATAATTCTTCGTTTAAATCAATTTACTAGAAAACAAACTGATTTGCTTGTTAACACAAACATTAAAATATTCCACGAATCGAGCCATTCATTATGAAAGTTGGTACAAGACCATTTCTCTCAAAAATTATTAATATGTGCTAATAGGCTCTTTGCATACTTTTGATTATCATCGGTAAATAAACTTACCAGACGTTTAAAGAATACGCACATTATTTGAAGAAAAATATGCTTTTGATAAATGGATCTACATCATTTTCATAATTATCAAATTTGAAAAGCATAGTACCAATGTTTCTTCTAAGGCAGAGAAGCAAGCATGTGACTCGTTATGTCCTCTGAGTGGTAATTGGATTCTTTTGAGCAACCAAAGATTACACGATTGAATAGATTCATTAAAGAAATTGTATGTCTTTATTCGAATGAAATGATTTTTATACCATGTATGAAATAAGTCCAGTTTAAAACTGTGAAATATCACCATATTTACTTATACGTTAATTTTAGATCATACAGGACAAATCAATATAGTATACTGTAATTTAATATCAATATTCGTTTCATTTCTTAATTGTTACAATAATATACCTGTTTTGTGTCCTTATATTTTACAAAATATAACATGGATATCATAGAAACGTAATATTCACATTTGTGGTCCAACACTACTTCTATAATTAGTGGTTATCATCTATCATTTTTCGTTTAAATGCCCTTATACCATTTTCATAATGAACGGCTTAAATAATAGTTTTTGCAACACTGGTTCAGAGTCAGCAACAAACTCGATCGTGAAATTAATAATCTGTCAGAAGAGACACTTTTAACTATGAAAACAGTCGTAGCAGCTAACGCATAAAGCTGCAGGGAAACCAATCGCTCGAATCTACAACTATGGCGAATTGTCAAACCCGTTAACAACACCTGTACGATCTACAATCAAAAGCAGTCTTTTAAATCGAAACGCACACGAACGCTGCTGTTTTATTGAAACAAATGTCTAGAACTAACGCAATAATCCATTGCTGATTATTTTTTCGGTGGAAAAGCGATCGCCAAATTAGTTGACAGTTCAGGGCCAAATATTGGAGAGGATTGGTCAGGATTTCGTGCATCATAAACTAATGATTAATATTACAACTATATTAAATTCAACTTATGAAAATTATTCTGAAACATATACTTGTCTAAATAAATGCAAACCATACTGCAACATAAAATATTCGTCATACTTTTGTTTTAAAACTAAAAAAAAAAAAAAGAAACAAACTTTGTTCAAATTACACATTTTCTTTTTTTTCTTGGCGATATCAATTTTTATAAACTATTTCTTACGCGTATCTTCTATTTGTCTATAGTTTGTTTACGTGAATAAAAATTTACGTTGCAACAAAAAGTGTTACATTGAAATTTCCTGGCAAGAACTTATTTCACGAATAACTAAAATTACGATTGGATTTAGAAGAAAATGTCATGTTGTTTCCCGACTGCCAACGGTAATCTATTCGTCATGTTTCTTTCGCTTTTAAATTTACTTTCTTCTACGGACGTTTGCTTGACCGGTCAACTAATTTGACACCCGCTATAAAATCATTCACGCGAACGGTGAAAACGGATCGAAGGATCGAGAGGGCTCCGTCTAAGCAACGACGCTATATGTATCTACCAGCAGAAGAGTTTGTGTCGGTTTCCTGGAGTAGGATTCGTGCAAAATCGCGTCAAGGAGCAAGAAACTTATTGTCACGTAAATTTGGCACAGAAGCTAATATGTGCCATTGCACATGTACGCTACGAACGATTCATTGTATCGCAGGACATCTGATGCTCGAAAATCGTCTTCTGAGATTCTTCGAAGCTCTGGCGGGCTTCCAATCGGGCTTCCAACTAGCCAAGGCGTGTGTTTGGATACGGTGAAACGCAAGATCGCTTTCTCCCTTCGTTCGACGATAATTCTTTGACGTTTCGTAGAAAGGTCTTAACTGAACATTGATTCCAAGTCAGAATTTTTCTCTATAATGGTAACAATTGCTTATTGTAACATTTCAACGTTTACGCGTGACATTAACCTCTCGCACTATGTTCAGAGTTGTTCACGCGTCGGTACAGCAGTTTCACCATGTTTGTATATGTTTCTGTACACGGATATAATCGTTGCAATACAACGTTAACATAAAAACTAAATATTTCAAGACCTTTAGATACGACAATTACGGTTTATCCAGTTAATTAAAATCATCGTGGCCTAAAAATAAATAACTTAACTTGAATTGCTAACATCTTGAAATAGCTGGCAGGAGAGTAATTATCGTTAATCGAAGCAATGTTATTTGTGTTTTATATAAACTATACAAGGTCTGAATAGTGTGGAGTCTATATACTTTGGAAAATATACATTTCGCCCGATATATTATAGCACAAGGGGTTGCACGAACCATTGTCATCTTGACTCGGCCCTTTCTACCAAACATCAAATAATTACGTTAAAAACTCTCCGCATCGCAGTTCGAACGTGAGTGAACTATAAACCAGGGTTGGGGAACCTGCAGAATGTGACCCGTCGAGGCGTTCAGCGCGGATTTCTCGCATATTTCGTTAATCGTGCGTTTATACCATTTATAGGTTATAAGTTTACAACAGGGCGAGAACTATCCGAACAATTTAATAACCGAACATTTTATAAGTATTTGAATGCTACGAATGTACTATTTTTCCACGAGAAGAAGGCACAGCGTACTTGCATCCCCACCTCTGTTGCAGTCCGCTGACTCACAGGCATTGGTCGAAAACGTTGACGAAGATCGGTGACAGCCAATCAGCGGACTGCAGCAAGAGTGGGGATGCAACCACGCTGTGCCTTCTTCTCGTGGAAGGACCTGTACTTCGAATATCACTATTCGCCGTTATTCAAATATCAAAGTATTCGTATACTCGCGCCAGGACAGGGACTACTTGATTCATAATCAACGTCTACTAAAATTTATATTCAAATACAGAAAAATTCGACAAAGTAGTCCTGATCCTAGTCCTAGCTCGTAACTGTCGTATAAAAATACGTAGATTAAAAGATCGTTCGCTGATTTACGGGTTCCTAGAAAGGCATTAACTTATATTCAGGTAAGTATCTCGTTATAATTTCGTCAAATTGTATTGTAGATGAGTGTGCGGCTTTGTGAGAAATCCATGAAGCGATACACAGCCTTCCAGCGACGGAAGGTTCCCCACCACTGCTCTAAACTGTGCTACTTTGTTTTTCTCAGGAGGGGGATGCGCATGTGACCGAACAACAACGTTGCTTAGAATGCACACCGACGCTAATGTATCGTCTACGACGATGTGCAACGCGTAAGATAGACGCGACATTCGAAACGAAAGTGTTTCGTCGAGACGATGGTAACGATTACAATCACGTTTTGTCTACGCATCTCTTCTTTCTAGTTTGATATCAACAATTTAAAAATCGCTTGAATCACTATTGACGATCGAACGTTTGATATAGTTAAGGTCAGACGCAATACAAGGATTTTCTTTATCAGTCTACGGATAATAATCCCCTTCTCGTCGACTTTCGAACAGTGTTCCTTGAAACCTTTCTTTTCTTTTAGCTATCTTATTAAAGATTCCTGCGTTTACCTAAAAAGAGTATATTCCAAAATTAAATACATATGTACGTATGTATATGTATATATATAAATACAAATATCTCTATTTTACAACGCAATGTACCGAAATATTCTTCAGCTCTCGCAATTATACATATAGTTTATACGACATCGACGGTCCTTATTCTCTTTCTCACAAAGCGATTAAATCTGATCCAGTCGAGAACACGGGCTGCACTGTGTTTACACAGAACAGATTGTACAATGTAGGCATAATTATAGAGATGAATTCGATTTGGGGGGGGATTTAGTAAAAAGAACTTATGCAAACATTTTTCCCTGTTTGGTATTATTCTTGAATTGCAGCTATTTTTGTGTCGTACCAGTCGTTTGTCAATTACTTATAGAAAGCACTGTTGAAAATTTTCAATAGAGTGCAGATTACAAAATTCATTATTGTTTATCTTGGATGCTTTCAACGTGTTTTTCCTAACTTTTTGTAAATACACTTTTTTTTTTTATAAGGTACAAGGAATAGGATTTTTTCATGTAATCTGCATAACTAAAACTCTTTACAGAACATTATGAAAATGTGCAAACACACATACACGCAAAGAATCATACACGAAGGTTCAAAGTTTTACCCTACACAGGCACAAAAAAGGCTGTAATTCAAAAACAAGATCGCACGCGCGAAAACATTTGAAAAGAAATCTTCTGGTCGTTCTAACATTCGGAATTCACCTCGAAAGTTACACCCACAATTTATTACAGCATTTACAAAGAAACCGAACGATCCTCGTGCGATCAAAGCATGACACGATGAGACATTCTATTGCTTATATTAAATGAACACACCTAACGGAAGTAGATAAGATATAAACGGAACTTCGATGAAGAGAATTGACAAAAGAGACAGAGACGAACTCGATTTACAATACAAGGAATATTCTGTACAATATCGCGTTATCCTAGGATAAAAGCAACTGCGTTTCTTTTTTTTTTTTTTTTTTTAGTTTTGTTTTCTCTTTTTATTCAGTACGATTCCAGTACGAGCGATTTGGAAATCGACTCCTTTAAAAATGTTTGACCACGACGTGAAAAAATATTTGCGATCGACGCCGGATATATCTAACATTACGATTTAAGTGCACGTAAGTGTACAAATCAACGCAAAGAATTCGAGGATGATGTCGATATTGTTTCGATTTTTCATTTATTCCTTTTATCCGATTCACATTTGACTACGAACAGTCCATAAATTTACACCTGTTCGTAATGAAATATACATATTTATCGAGCGGAGAAAAATAAGGGACATGTATATTTTTTGATCTCCAACCCCTCGAGTTTAAACATTTTTGATTGACTATTATTTTTAATTAGTTTCGCACGAATTCGTGACATTTAGTCTGTACCCAGTGGAATTCACATATTTTTTCATGAAAAAATACCTTAATTTTGAATTCATCTATACAGAATGAGACCGTTGATCTGTAAATGAATTTTTTTTCAGAAAGTAAACGAAGGAACCAATGCGGTGATTAAAAGGAAAATGGTTAATAAATTTTGTATGTACCATTTTGTTTCTCTCTCTCTCTCTCTTTCTATTCATCTGTTACAGTTTGCTTAATGTCTAGCGGCCAACTAATCCGATTTTAAAATCAGTACGTCATCTATTTTCAAACTGATCACAGAAGATGTATCTCTTTTACTATTCGTGAGTTTTCTTTCATTATATAAAATAATATTTTCACTAAGTTTGATCGACGACTATGATTATAACATTTTAAATAATCCTACTGGCATCCGGAATGGTTTAAAATAACGAGTCACCATTGAATCAACGAATATTTCTATTTTTGGTCACTATAATTTTGAGAAATGTCGAAGACATTTCTAGACATTAAAAACTGGCATGACAGTCAACGTGTTGACTATACGTGAAATCCCTAATATACATATACTATCACTCAGGGTTTACCACATGCGAGGTACTCATTAACTCTAAAAATGAGAGAATACGACGTGTAAAATGTTGTTTCATGTAGTTTTTTTACTACGAACAAAATCATGAACATAAAAAATATTGTAAACAAGTGAATTCGAATAGAAAACCACGAAACATTCGACTAATAAACTTTCTCGTATCTTTGATAGATTTCAAAATAATTTCGCTTCTTTAAACTCGAGTTTCTTCGATAAAAAAATAAAAAAAAAAAAAAAAAAAAAAAATTATACATGCCCTTGGGCCTCCTGTTACACAAATATGCAACGTTTTCTAGCTGACTACGATCGTTCGACGAGTCCGGATTAAGTCAAAATCGGAAAAATACCACACCACTGGATTTTCCATATATCTTCGTATGCGAGTATGTATGCTTAATACATACATATTATACTTCGTAACGTTTATCTAAGCGACGGACACCGAAACAACGTATCCCTATCAGAAGATGGATAACGAATGATCTGCGTGCGGGTACACGGCTCAATGTCAGGAGAATATTAATAAGAACGTTATTGAACGAAGAATAACGATTCCCTAAGTTATACCGTGGTATTCTGGTAATGTTCAGCTCGCGGGCGTTACTTGGGAAACGGTGAACGGCGTCACCTGATAGAGAAAACACCTGTTGCACACTCTTACGGGTTTTGTGTGACCGTAACGAGGCAGGGGAACGTTGTTGCTGCTGCAACGACCGCAGAACACCTTGCCGCAGTTTCTGCAATGATGCCTTCGTCGCACCACGGTGAATCCTGCCTGACAAGCCATACACCTTGGCGCGTCGTTGTCGGGAATCCAGGCTGGCGCCCTCTCCACGCACTCTTCTCCACGTTCGGTTACAGGAGAAACTGTAAACAAAAATCCTCTGTACACTGACTGGTTCTATTATTTTGTTAACCCTCAGGAGATCTTTAGGTATTTTTCTATCCAAAACCGTTCTTATTCATTTAGGAACGAATGCAATTATGGACAAAACTATAATGAAATTTGTATAAGTATGTTTGTTTTCTGTTAGTGAATAGGTATCGATGATGGCATGGTTAAACAACGACATAACGCAACGTGTCGATTGTCGCTTGTTCTTGCATCGTGTCCGGCGTGCGAGTCGAGTTGCGTCGATGCGAAATCACGTCTATGCGGTGGTTTTATATTCTTGCATTATTATACGTTTATATATTATAGCTATTCTTAGTCTGTGTGTGTTAGTGGTTTGTATAATGTATTAATATCCCGAGTGAGAAACAATCTGACATTTTCCTTTCTTTAACATATTTTTGTTTATATGTTTATATCATATTTATCCAGAAGACCGTCAATGTATGGTGAAACAAAGAGGACCGCCCGAGGGTTAAATACCTGTTGTAAGATTTTCAGATTTTCTAACAAGCGCGTAATTAGAAATTGACACGTACTAGGATTTTGGTCATTCGTTGCTGGAGTCTCTTCTAAATCCTCTTCGTATTCCTGCAACGAATCTTGTCGTTCGCGATCGATACCCGTATCGTTTAAAGGACTCGTCGTCTGATTATCCGTCGTTAAACTTTCATCTTTCGTCTCTCCGTCCTCTACGGTTTGACTACTGTTCATAAGGAACACGCACTTTAAAATATTGCGCAGATCCGATGCAAAGTTCGTCTGCAACTGATCAGCCACCCCTGCTATGCACACGAACAGTCGATGGACAAGATCTTCCGACGATCTGAAACAGTATCAGCAATCTATGTAACCAATTATTTAACCAACAACAAGAAAGTACACGTAAATACTATTCAACAGAGTGAATAAAATTTCTTTCCTTCAATTTTTCAAGATAATATTAACATCAAGCTCATATAATATTATATTTACTGCTCATGCATTATTTTCATTCCATTTTGAATTTGTATAACTTACAAATTTATAAATTACACTTTTTGGGGAACCCAATCCGATCTTTGATCAATCTCTACATATAACGTCTCAAAAATAATCAGATTCTTCGGTGGTTCTTAACCTGGCTTCAAAGGGGCTGTAGAACTTACACATTGAAATTTTAAATATTTATTATGACAGCTATTATGCTAAAATATATCTTTTTCTTAGCTAAACTAACAATATAGAAAATAAATGTAACGGTTGACGTCTATGTAAACTTTTAAATGCTGATAAAAGTATTGTAAAATGGAACAGATGGATAAAGTGGAACACAAATATTTCTCTTAGATAAACGGTTCGAAACGAAAGATTTCGAACATACAAGTTTCAATATTTAACCAACTTGATAACTATTTCTTTTTCCCTGGTTATCAGAGAACTACTAAGGTAAGTATTTCAGTTGATGGTTCTTACATTATATTTTGGGAGAGGCAAAACTTTTTGAAAAGAGAAAAATGAAAGTATTTAGTACATACTTATTTTTGTTTAAATAATTAGGTTGAACAGTAGTATGTCAATTATTATTCTAGTTTCTTAAAAAATTTTAACTGTTTAATCTGTGGGATATGTACCTACGTTTGTCATTGCAACAAACTATTATGTGTTAACTAAGCATGTGTAATGAAGGTAAAAACAAGATTGTTTTATAATTTTGTCGCGAACTGTAAATTCTATCGAAAATGCAGACCCAGCCAAGATTAAACTAGTTGATTTTAGAAAGAAAAATTTGCTACAATTGAAACTAAAAAAAAACAGAGGATTCTGATGTTCCTCATAAGCTTATCCTCGTATTATAGAGCCAACTTGTGATTTTATTCTGTTCTGTGCATTATACCTAAGCAAGTCAGGATTTCTAACATTGTTAGTTTCAAGCGTTGCATTTACTAAATCTTCTGTAACTTTGTAATTTTTGCAAATTTCACTTCAATATTTTAGGGGGTCATTCTTAAAACCCCAAAAATTGAAAAGAGATAAAAAAAATTCGATTATTTCAATCAGTCACAGTGGTTTGCCCCCTTAATAGAAAAGATTGGTTGAGAATCACCGCCATAAGAGTAAAAGTCGTGGAAAAATGATTTTTACCGAAATTTCGCTCGAATCTGATTCCTATTCGCGATCTCGGCGGCTTGCATCGCCAGTGCGATCTCCTCGTCGTCCTGACAGTCGCTCTGGAACTCGCTGGTCTCTGAGCTCGAGTCGCAATAGCTGGAACAACTGGAGCTGGACGCGACGTCCGGTTTGCGAATCAACGAATGATCTGTATTGAAAGACTGTGTTCCGGGGACTGCCGATGCGTTTACCAGTCTTATCGCTCGTGTGGTTCTCTGTGTATTATTGTCTTTTGTTGCATTCTGCGTCCCGTAAGAAATGTTCTGAGGTATCATGGGTGAAACTGGCTCCGTCACCAGGCCACTCTTGTCCGTCCTTGGTCCCAAACCGTCGTTCATCAGTTCGTTCGGACTTCTGTTTCCCAATTTCCTCTTGGTCTGTTCCGAGCGCGGATTGACGCGTTCCTGCTGCTTGTCCCTCTTCTCGAGATCCCTCCTCTTCATTCGACTGATTTGCTCCGACCTGGATCTCCTGTGATCCAGAAGCTTCCGATTCTGCGGCGACAAGTTTCTCTGAGCCTTCGAGGCGACGCTGCAGGTTCGTTGGCCGGACGCCGGCGCGCCGCGGGTCTCGAAATGCTGCAACCTCGGGCTGGCGCGCGGACTATGGCTACCAAAGTTTGGCATTTGCCTGGTGTTCTGGCTAGGATGCAAACTGGCCCCGTAGCTGATCAATCTGGGGTTCAAGCAACGATCCGTCGAGTTCGACCTGGAGCTCTCCGTGCTCGTGGCGGACCGTACGTTCGGAAAATTTGTCGTTCTGCTCTCCTGCATCGCCCGATGAACGATCTGCCCGTTGTTCCTCTCGTGTTTGCGCTGATGACGTCGCTTCTGCTTCTCGTACCTGACTTTCCTCGACGCCATCTTGTCCTGCGCGTACTGCTCGATCTTCGTGCCGATCTTCCCGATGTTCTGCGACGTGGACGGACAATTCTCGCACTTCAGGTCGCTCCAGAACTCCTTCCTGGACGTGGACGCATCGATGTTCAGATTCAGATTCTCCCAATTCTCGGTGTAATTGATCTGAAAGCTCGACTGGTTTGAATCGCACACGGATATGTGACCGTTACCGTACGCGACGCCGACGAACTCCTCGTTCGTTCCGTCGAAGTTCGACGATATCCTTGGAATGTTTTTCGCGGCCTCCGTGCTGGCCGAGTGCAGATTGTACACTTCGATGGAATGGTCCAGCGACGACACGGTTTTCACGCTTCTCAGGCTACAGACGCACGAATTGTCGGAGATCGTGGAGCTCTTCCTCTTGGGCGAGTTGAGATTCGAGCAAGAGTAGCTGGTGTTCTCTTGCGTGTCCTCGTCGTCCAAGTTCTGCTCGTCGTGGTGTATCTCGTTGGCGAACGTTTTCTTCTCTTCCGGGCTCTTGTCGTAGAGACTGGTGTTCTCCGACGATATCACCGTGCAGATACCCGAGTCCGTCTGCTCCGACATCTCGTTCTGACAGTCGCCGTCCAGCAGAAGGTTCGACAGGGTCTTGTTCGCCTCGGATATCAACTTCTTCGAGTCCAGGTCTGGCAGTGAGTTCTGTATGTGCACCGTCTCGCCCGTCACGTTGTTCTCGTGCGAGACCTGATTGAGCAGATACTGCGTCTGAGGTATCTCGATGTTCTCGGAGCCGCCTAGCATCTCCGATATATCCGTGGTCATGAATTCGTCCTGTTGCTTGTGCAGATGATTGTTGCACTGGCTCTCGCTGGTACTGGACACACTACTCTCGTCAGCGTTCCGAGCCGCGCTGCCTTGCTCCATGAAAACAGGACTTGCGTTCTCCTCGTCCCTTCTCGAGCAAGGACTCCCGTCGCAGGATTGACCTCTGCTGTTCGAATCGTAAGATTTCTTAACGTTGTATCGCACTTCGTTACCGACACAATCCCGTTCACACAATGTCCTCGAGCCACCGTTGCACCTAACAACACTTTCCTCGTACCTGTCCGTTGTAACGCTCACGCGATTAGGCCCGGTTTCCGTGATATTTATCCTCGTTTCTCTGTGCCTATCCTCTAACCGATCGGTCCTTCTCTCTGCCGAACGATCGACGTTCTCTTCCGTCAATGTTTCAATTACGTCGTTCGCCACCTCGTCCATATTGTTTCCCGTATTCCTCGTCACTGTGTAAAAATCTACGATGAAGTCTTTGCAGTTCGGATAACCGGTATAAAAATTGTGAACGAACTCCTCCAGGTCTGGTATGTCCTGGCACGCAGACTTTGACGACTGCGTGATAGGACCCGACGGTTCCTCGTTCGAGCACAACAGTTTCTCCAACATGTACAGCTCGCGATTATTTAACGTCCACAGAAGCTCTCTTATTTTTAGAAGAAGCGTCTGAAACAAAAACATTAAACATTGGTATTGCTGTTGTTGCGTAATGCTTGTTGGAGAGCGATAAGCACGATAAAGGTTTAGATTGGCATTGACTTTCGCGTAACGGGGTCAGTCTGGTAATTTCGAATCAAAAAATCGACTGCTTTTGTTTAATATTCAAGTCTGAAAAGCATCGTTGCGAAAAGAACCGAACCTTTTATTTGTTTTAAAGGGATAAGCCTAAATTTTAAAGTTTACTTTTGAAAGAATAACAAAAGAGGCCTAAAAAATCCATATCTAGACCGGAATACACCCTCTTAATGGACTTTCTAATGGTCTCTTATAAATTTTTATTAAAAGTGGATATTTCTTTTTTTCATTCAGTTTGAATCCTTACTTTTAACTATATGTTTCAAAAGTATTCACAATTTTTTTATACGAAAATGTTAAACATTATAGGAGTTATAATTTGGTGAATCAAATTTGAAGAGAATCTTCGACGCAAGTATCTTTAATCACTAAATGTAAAGAAGATCATAAAAAGTCAATAACAGTAGAGTTCCGATTACCCGACACCCGATTATCCGGAATGTCAGAATAACCGGCATATTTACCTCGACTATTCTTCGGTAAATGATACGGAGTATATTTCACACAGACGAAGTCACAGCCATATGCATCTAGCAGTGACGTCGATACTAAACAGTTGACAAATAAAGCGTAGGAATTTTATATAGTTTACTTTTTATTAATAAATTGTATTACTACATTATCCATGGTTGTGTTTATTAAAAATAAAAAACGAATTTTTAAGAAAAATCGACCGGGGGTACGTGCAGAAATTTTTCGGCAAAATTTCAAATCATTCTGAAAAAATTATTTTTGGTTGCAGGGGTCAATTACAATCACTTTTGGTGAATAGACATACGCTCGAAATCCTACGCACTTTGGAGGAAAAAATTCCTCACTGAAAATATAATATGTAGCCAGAAGTGGAACCCCGCATGCGAATATTAAAAAGATCATAATTTCTGAACGGATTGGAGGATTTTAATGTTTCAAAATACAAATAACGCGTATTTTGACGAAGACTATGTAGAAATTCTAAAAATGCTCAAAAAGTTATTCCTTGACCACATAAACTGAGAAAAACCACATAAAAATGGTCCAATTTTCAAACAGCCATAACTCCTACAATAGCGAATATATTTCATTGAAATTTTGAGGGGAACTAAAGTTCATGGATACCTACAAAAAAGTATTAAACTACTTTTCCGTAGCGCGTCATATAAATTTATTAAAAATCAAAAACGAATTTATAAGAAAAATCGACTGAGGGTAGGTACTGAAATTCGGCGAAAAATAAAAATTTCAAATTGTTCTGAAAAAATTATGTTCGTTTGCAGATGTCAATGACAATTATTTTGGGTGAATACACATACCCCCGAAATTCTACGCATTTTCGAGAAAAAGAATTCAGGAAGGCGGACAAATTTTTCGGCCTAATTGAAAAATTTCAAATCGTTCTAAAAAAATTATTTTCGATTGCAGGGGTCAATTACAATCATTTTTGGTAAGTAGACATACCCCCGAAATGATTCTGTAATTTCATTTTCTGTCTCACTTCCTCTTGTGTTCATTTCTGTAACCTGTTGGTAATGTTACAAATGACACGAAAATGGTAATGAGGCTGTAGATCCCCATAAAAATGAGGCGAAAAAATACACTACGAGACGAGGTCTACTCGTATACCTCGTCTGCGATTATATTTCTTGTATTGATCATTTCATACACAGTATGTCGGAAAAATAACGGAACTTTTTAATGAAAACTGCTAATGCCATCTATTGAAACAATATGTAACCTGAAAGCTGTATATTTCCTCTACAAAACAAAAGTATCATTATTGGAATCGACTAACGGATTGTCAAGCTATAACGGTTAAAGTGGCAGTACCTTCTGTCACTTCGTCACAGAAACACAATGGATCAAAGAGCAAATATTAAATTTTGTTTCAAGCTCGGGGAAACTTTTACAGAAACATTTGAATTCATGAAAAAAGTTTATGGTGATGATTGTTTATCCCGTATACGTGTGTTCGAATGGTATAAACGATTCCAGGACGGTCGTGATGCTTTGGAAGATGACCCAAAGCCAGGCCGGCCAAAAAAGGAAAATCGCCATGAGTTGGTGGAAAAAGTGCGTGAAATGATTACCTACGATGCGACTTCAAGTGTTAGATGGATGGTAGAGGTATTAAATACGACTAAAGGCATGATTCACGAAATTTTGACAAAGGACTTAAACAAACGGAAAGTCTATGTTCGATTTGTTCCTCACGCATTAAATGAGGACCAACAGATTGCTCGCGTTGAACATTGCAAGGGTCTTATTAAAACAGCCAGGCCGAACTGCACATTTCTGGAATCGATTGTGACTGGAGACGAGACTTGGTGCTTCAAGTACGATCCACAAACAAAGCACCAAAGTGCAACGTGGAAGTCCCCAGACTCTCCGAAATCGAAAAAATTGCGATACCAGAAGCCACGAGAGAAGACAATGTTGATCTGTTTTTATGATTCGAAAGATATTATACTTGGGGAATTCGTTCTACAGGGTGAAAGTGTCAATGGAGAATATTATCTGGGTGTTATGGAGCGTTTGTGGAAAAAAATCCAAAAAGGAAGTTGGTTTTTGTTGCACGATAATGCACCATCGCACAAGACTGTCGCTGTTCGTGAAGTTTTGGTGAAAAACAGGTCTGTGTGCTCCAACATCCTCCGTATTCGCCAGACTTATCTCGATGTGATTATTTTCTATTCCCAAAACTCAAACTGGCCATGAAAGGAACGTTTTATGACAGTGTTATACAAATCCAAGGCGCGGTGACAAGAGTCATTGAGACGATTTCGCAAAATGATATAAAAAAATCTATGCTGGCACTAGTCGAACGTGCCCAGCGGTGTATTGATGCAGAAGGGATGTATTGTGAATAAAAAAAAATAATTTTGGCAAAATAACTAATTTCCATATTTTAATTTAAAAAGTTCCGTTATTTTTCCGACATACTGTGTATGTAGGTATAGTCCAATTATTCAGTATATTTGATTTCTCGCCATTGCTTCAGTCCCGAGGATGCCGTATAATCGGAATTTTACTGTACTTGACTTTAAAATGTTATCAAATATTTAATTTTCAATAGTCACAATTCATACCGAATAGAATACTTTTTGATTATTTTATTTCCGATGAACTTTTTTAAATCCTTCGCTGGATGAATATGAATAACAAATGTCCTTCTTTGGCAAAAATATCTAAGAAACCATTAAAATATTGTGATCCAGGCAGAGATACTCCCTTATTGAATTAAAGTTGCCAAACTGACGAGAATCGTAAATAATTACCGATTGTTGCTAATTATGATCGTTGGAGGTACGCTTACCCTAAAAGGTCTAAACATTTCACTAATGTTGTCGGGGGAATTGAGGCACAACGGGCCTCCCGGCGGGGCCAAGAGACCGGAAACAATCGCCAAACGAGGAATAGTAAACATCAGGGCTGGCTCGTAATTATCCACGTCGGCCTGGCTGAGCAATCCGCGCTCGAGAGCTCTTTGCAGTGTCTCCGAAAATAAAACGCACACGAGTTCCTGCTGTTCGTACTCCTTCGTCGATTTCACCGGTACCATGGCGCCTACGTAGCACAATTCAAAATCGGCGAACAGTCGGTCGAAGATCTTCAACGACTCGATCAGCTTCTCCAGCAACGGATCCAACGGGTTTTGCGTCTGAAAAATGAACTGCCAATAGTAAAGTCAATTAACCGACGTTCCAATTAAACGACACCGTTGTTTACGTAAAAATTTCATCTTTAGATCTGGACGTATCATTCGTCCAACTATCGCAGTTTTTCTTTGAAAAATTCAACGAACGATGAATTATTCGCGCGCGACAATGTTGCCAGTTGGCAACGTTACGTTCTTTCTATTTTAATAAACAACATATAGCGAGGGATCGTAATGAACGTAAATTGTGTTGCATTTTAACAACGTGACACACGTTCGGCTTTCTTACTTTCTCTTACAAGGGGAGGTCATACCCTGTCAACCTGGGATTTCAACCAAATTTGGCAGAGTTGTTGGGGCTGATGTCCAAACGCATTCTGTAAAATACTAGACGTTTATGGCCAGCCATTTTGTTAAAAAATGGCATTAAAGTTTAAAATTTCGAAGTTGTCGGATCGACGTTTCTTTTTTTTTAAATTGTAGGTCTCGAAGAGGGGAACACAAAAGTCCAATACATTTTTGCCGTAACATCAATAATTTAAACAAAAATTTGAGTTTTTGTGACGGGATAAATACATATGTACCGTGTAGTTGTAGCGTATTTTCAACAGTCATTGTAGCCGTGGAGTTAGCGTCGAGGAATTCGGGTTGGAAGACTGGGGTTCGTCTCCCCGGAACTAGAACATTTTGTTTTTTTTCTTTTCTTCGCTTATTTTTGAATTTTTATTTATTTTTAATTTTAATTTTTAATATCATGGAAAAAGATGGCTATTACAAATAAATAAAATACTATTATGGTTATAAATGTTTATTTTCACACATACTTACAAACATATTCTCATATATATTTACATCTCACGTATAAATAAATACAAAAATTAGATATTTATTTCATACGGGTTTCGCAATGCATTGTATGATTTTTATCATAAAAACAGGAAAAACATAATGGTTTCATACACCAAGCGCATGTTATAAATGCTTGTTCTGTACAGCATTTTTTATTTCTTAGGTCGTGTGGAAAACATACTTGATTCACGTTACAAAAGATTTCTTTTTTATGATTCGGAGGGGTGAATTTAGACGCATACCATGCATATTTAATCATGTCGGTAAAAATTGGAGCAGATAATTGATAATGGATTATGGAATGTAATTTTATTATATCCTGTCTATTGGTTAATTCTCTGTTTTCGCGGATTAATGTTAGGGCGTTTTGGAGTCTTGAAAGAAAGTTCTTAACCTGTCTAAAAAAATACACGTCACACGGTTGGCAAATGGGTGTACATTTTGGTGGTATCACTTTTAACGTGCAGGTAGCCATATTTTTATCTTCCGGATCATAAAAGATCCTGTCATATAATGCTGGATTTGTTTGTCCACCCCACGAATCGATGACTAATAAGAATTTATTTGCTTTTACGTAAGGTTTTAATATATTTTCCAAAAATAATTGATAGGTATCAGATTGCAATTTCCCTGACTTTGTGCAAGTGGCATGTACATTGCCTAATTCTTCTTCTTGTTTTCGAACATCTACTGCTACCAGTGGTCCAAAAAATGCTGTACAGAACAAGCATTTATAACATGCGCTTGGTGTATGAAACCATTATGTTTTTCCTGTTTTTATGATAAAAATCATACAATGCATTGCGAAACCCGTATGAAATAAATATCTAATTTTTGTATTTATTTATACGTGAGATGTAAATATATATGAGAATATGTTTGTAAGTATGTGTGAAAATAAACATTTATAACCATAATAGTATTTTATTTATTTGTAATAGCCATCTTTTTCCATGATATTAAAAATTAAAATTAAAAATAAATAAAAATTCAAAAATAAGCGAAGAAAAGAAAAAAAACAAAATGTTCTAGTTCCGGGGAGACGAACCCCAGTCTTCCAACCCGAATTCCTCGACGCTAACTCCACGGCTACAATGACTGTTGAAAATACGCTACAACTACACGGTACATATGTATTTATCCCGTCACAAAAACTCAAATTTTTGTTTAAATTATTGATGTTACGGCAAAAATGTATTGGACTTTTGTGTTCCCCTCTTCGAGACCTACAATTTAAAAAAAAAGAAACGTCGATCCGACAACTTCGAAATTTTAAACTTTAATGCCATTTTTTAACAAAATGGCTGGCTATAAACGTCTAGTATTTTACAGAATGCGTTTGGACATCAGCCCCAACAACTCTGCCAAATTTGGTTGAAATCCCAGGTTGACAGGGTATGACCTCCCCTTGTTAGTTCGATTTTCAACGGAACATCTCGTGGACTTTCGTGTCTTGCGTTATTTACACGATGTTAATAATCGTATTCTTTGATACGAACAATTAAAATATGGTTCTACTTTTTTTAAATCAGTGTGTTACTTTTCAGAACTTCTACTATTTTTATTCCTTTGAAATTCATGCAATCGATCGAAAGATAAATAAAAAGAACGAGACATATTTTTCGACCCTGAAAGCGGAAGACTCGAGCATTAAAGGGTATAGCCGAATAAGGGGGTCAAATGTGCCCCCAAACCGAATGGAACGAGCCACGGGTCATTCGATAGCAAAAAAAAAATAACCCCTGTGTGCAAATTTTTAACTTGAAATCTCGACCGTGGGGGTAGTAATGGGGTGAAAACGAAAATCATGTTTTTGAATTATTTCTCTTGACCTATTGAGTAAAAAAATGTAAAAAAATTCAGAGACATTTCGGGTACCGGGGCACATACTTTGGGAGATTTTCAGATTTTTTGATTGAAGAACCAGGTAGTGAAAAATAAAAAACAGCAAAAAATACCGAAAAATGCCGATTACGTATTGAAGGAGGCCCGGAACTACTTTTATACTTTTACAGTAAACAGGTATTACTATTACTATTACTCTCAATTTTTTTCAGATTTTTCATTTTGGTGCGCCGCAGTGAAAAAAAATAAAAACCGAGTTTTTCCTCGTTTTCTGCGTATTAGAGTAACTTACACGTTGAATTTTTATGCATCCTTCAATATATAAGTGTTTTGTAGACTGCTTAATGTTTCTACACTAAGCAGAATTACATAACAATTGAAACAAATAAAATAAAGCCAACCGTTGAGCGCAATATATCCTAGAAAATCAACGATATTTTCAACGGCGTCGATGGCGGAGCGTTAGAGTGTCCGACTGCTGAACCGCTGGAAGTTTTTTTACCGTAGGTTCGAGTCTCTCTTCTGGACTTATTATTTTTTTTTCTTCATTATTTTTTTTTTCAAATTCTAACTATATAACAATGCTTTATATTTATTTATAAATGTTCTGATAGCATTTTACAAATATTTTAACCTGAAATATGTATAAATATAGTCTTGGAGTGTTTTTTGCGTTTTTATTTTTTTTGTCAACCACGATTATTGTTTAACATCTCTTACACTGAAATTAATGTGAAATGTTAGTTTTCAAATCTCTTACCTTTGACTATTGTGAATGGATCGGAGCAGAAGATTGTATATTGGCTTACTATTACTTCTTCTCGCCCTTCGATCAAGCAGATCTTTCCTTCTCGTTCTCTTTCTTTGATAAATATGAATGTTTGCTGCGGCTTTAGTATCTAACGTAGACATGTAAGGGCCATTCCACGCCAAATCTATTAACCCACTCTCTGCCAATGATACTTTTTTCTAATAAACCCATTTTTAAGTACCAGTTTGATCGTTTCATGCTTATTTTTGAATGAAGTATCATTGCTCGATGGAAACCACGGGGAAAAATGATTAATTGTCCTACCTGCGTTACGAAGGAAATAAAGGTTCATTGGGTGAGGGCCCAGACCGTTCAGGTCAATGGGTGATTGTCGCGTTCGGGTTTCACAATGTATTTTTTAATTACGCATTTCAAGCTACTATATGCGATGGGATTTATACATAATTACTTGGCATGGTCCGTAGAGGTTGGTCCTACAAGTGTTTTCATTATCTTTAAAACCAGCAGTAAGGAAAGGATAATAACCCTTACATGTCTACGTTAGATACTAAAGCCGCAGCAAACATTCATATTTATCAAAGAAAGAGAACGAGAAGGAAAGATCTGCTTGATCGAAGGGCGAGAAGAAGTAATAGTAAGCCAATATACAATCTTCTGCTCCGATCCATTCACAATAGTCAAAGGTAAGAGATTTGAAAACTAACATTTCACATTAATTTCAGTGTAAGAGATGTTAAACAATAATCGTGGTTGACAAAAAAAATAAAAACGCAAAAAACACTCCAAGACTATATTTATACATATTTCAGGTTAAAATATTTGTAAAATACTATCAGAACATTTATAAATAAATATAAAGCATTGTTATATAGTTAGAATTTGAAAAAAAAAATAATGAAGAAAAAAAAATACTAAGTCCAGAAGAGACTCGAACCTACGGTAAAAAAACTTCCAGCGGTTCAGCAGTCGGACACTCTAACGCTGCGCCATCGATGTCGTTGAAAATATCGTTGATTTTTTAGGATATATACACCCAATGGTTGGCTTTATTTTATTTGTTTCAATTGTTATGTAATTCTGCTTAGTGTAGAAACATTAAACAGTCTACAAAACACTTATATATTGAAGGATGCATACAAATTCAACGTGTAAGTTACTCTAATACGCAGAAAACGAGGAAAAACTCGGTTTTTATTTTTTTTCACTGCGGCGCACCAAAATGAAAAATCTGAAAAAAATTGAGAGTAATAGTAATAGTAATACCTGTTTACTGTAAAAGTATAAAAGTAGTTCCGGGCCTCCTTCAATACGTAATCGGCATTTTTCGGTATTTTTTGCTGTTTTTTATTTTTCACTACCTGGTTCTTCAATCAAAAAATCTGAAAATCTCCCAAAGTATGTGCCCCGGTACCCGAAATGTCTCTGAATTTTTTTACATTTTTTTACTCAATAGGTCAAGAGAAATAATTCAAAAACATGATTTTCGTTTTCACCCCATTACTACCCCCACGGTCGAGATTTCAAGTTAAAAATTTGCACACAGGGGTTATTTTTTTTTTGCTATCGAATGACCCGTGGCTCGTTCCATTCGGTTTGGGGGCACATTTGACCCCCTTATTCGGCTATACCCTTTCTCAAAAAGAAAGAAAAATGTGCAAGATATCCTCTACTGTGTTTGAACACGTTCGGATAATAGAATTTTCCATTATACGGTGAAATTAAAACACAATTTCGAGGAGTAAACAGGTTTCGCTTAAAAACACTTCGTCAAGCAAGTGGCGATAAATACCTTCAGGTTCATGTGACCTTTCAGCGCGTGCTCTCTGAGCAAATTCCTGACGATATCCAGCGACTTTGTCAGAGCCTTAGCCAACGGCCTCATGGCTGAACTTTCAGCTTCCCTGTTCATGATGGAGGATCCAGCCGCTAAGCATTCCGCGCCGAACCATAACTGGCCGGCCAGGTTCTCCTGCATCACGTCGTCGGGGAACTTCACCCTGAAATCCCGATTCGCCCTGCTCTCCGGTATCAGGTCGTCCATTATCTGGCTGCATATCGTCAGCACCTTGTCCTGACAATGGCGAAGCTGATTCACCAGCGTGGTGCATCTCTCTGGCTCCTGTCTGCCATCGAAGGAATCCAGCTCGCAGGCGACGGCGTTCAGGGACTCGTCCGCGTAGAAAAACTGAGCGAGTAAACTCGTGTCGTCTCTCTGAATTCGATAAAAAAAGAAACGGATCTTCGTTAAACAACACAAATACGTCATCTTCTTGGTTATTTCATGCGAGATTAAAGTCAATATTGTTGAGCCGTTCATATGGCGACAACTATAATAAGGATGAAGATCGTGCGGGGATTCCCGTGGCTTTTGTTCAAGTCGAGTCGTTTGTCCGAGCCGCATGGTTGGCATCGTAATTATTATTGCAATTTATTTATATTAAACTATGTAATACTTAAAAAATAATAAAAGTGGTTGTGTTTAACATTGAAATATTGTCTATATGTATACATATATACAGGGTGTTCGGCCACTTCTGGAAAAAATTTTAATGGGGGATTATACAGGCCAAAATAAGACGAAAATCAAGAATACCAATTTGTTGATGGAGGCTTCGTTAAAAAGTTGTTAACAATTAAATTCAAAAATTTTAAATCGTTCTGGAAAAATTATTTTCGGTTGCTGGGATCAATTACAATTGTTTTTGATGAATACACATACCTCCGTAATCCTATCCACTTTCGAGAAAAAAATCGGGTAGGTGCTGAAATTTTTCGGCAAAAAACAAATTTTTCAAATCGTTCTAAAAAAATTATTTTCGGTTGCGGGGGTCAATTACAATCATTTTTGGTTATTACACATACCCCCGCAATCCTACGCACTTTCGAGAAAAAAATTCCTTACCGAAAATCTAATTAGCCGCCTAAATTTTTCAACGAAAACAAATATTTCAAATCGTTCTGAAAAAATTATTTTATGTTGCAGGGGTCAATTATAATCAGTTTTGGTGAATAGACATACCCCCGAAATCTTGCACATTTTCGAGAAAAAAATTCAATACGGGCGGAACTTTAACCGTTAATAACTTTTTAACGAAGCCTCCTTCAACAAATTGGTATTCTTGATTTTTGTCTTATTTTGACCTATAGAATCTCCCATTAAAATTTTTCCCAGGGGTGGCCGAACACTCTGTATATTTATTTAATCAGTTCCTATGCAAGAGGACCTGATATTTTACAACAAATAGAGGAAAACCTACGTCGGTATACTCGAACGAATAAAATAACAATTTCAAAACAATTTCAGATTTTGATTTTTTAATTTAATTATACCACTTTTTATTATGTATTTTCACGATGTTTTACACGAAGTATTTACAAATATATTCTAAACGTTTGTTATATTTTTTATGATATTTATTCTCACCACAAACTTTTTTTACAAGAAATTCGATGTTCAACATTTCAATTAAAAATACAGGTATCAAAATAAATAAGTTTAAAAATTTTTGCCATTATTCAAAAATTTTAACTTGAAATTATTTTTCAAAAGTCATTTTTCCTACAATGATTGTTAAATTAATTTAATGTTGTCTTTCTTTTCCAACTTTTCAGTAAATACGTTCATCATATTTTTTACAAACGGTTCTTAAAAAACAGTGCTAGCTTTTCGATTCTTTCATCAAAATCGATGTTCAATGTTTCAATTAAAAATACACAATTAAAATTGACTTTAGAAACATGTTCAGCGACACGTATTAAAATAAATAGGTTTACAAAATTTTGCTGTTAATTAAAAATAGGCATGTATTTTGTAGATTATGTTTAATATTCCACGAATCGTTGCATACATGGTATGAATGCTACTCAACTGTTATACTAAAACAAAAGATGGTGTGCACGTTTGCCAACGAGAAAAAAATAAATATTTCCTACACGTGCATGTTTGCCAACATGGGAATGAGAAACATTTCCAACAAAAATTTTAATTTAACTAAAAATTATTTTCCAAATTTCGTCATTTCTCCCTGAATAATTGTTAAATTAATTTAGTGATGTCTTTCTCTCCCAATTTTTCAGTAGATACAATTTGGTCGAGATAGGTATGGTTGTGTCACGATTTCGGAAACACTCTGTACTACACAAAGGAGCGTGATAAGAACATGCTTAAAACAGACAAAATATTGACGAGCGATACCAGCTGGTTCGTGCGCGTAATAGACCAAGTTTAGAAACTTGAACGATAATACACTTTTCGCTATATAGTTCTGGACGTAATAACTAATTTTAGATGCAGTAATTATTTCTTTATTCGTTATAAATAGCCACACTTTTGTCACTGTTTCATTCACTCGTAATAATTCTTCTCGTTGGTGGACACGTTGACAGTATGAACTTGAATTGATACCGAATTCTTAATTTTTCAATACTTCATATTTAATAGCACCTCAATGTTTCTGTATTGCATGTTATTAAACTATACAAGAATGATGCTTCGATGAAAACTACTTATTGTTACTTTTAATTTTCTTTCGATTCGAATATTTTCATTTATAATACTTCTTTCGTATATTTTCGAAAGATAATTATTAGCGACGGAGTCATTAATTTATACTATTTGATCCACGATCTTGGTACTTCAATGTACTCAAGATCGTGAATCTTGTTGAGTATGACGTCATTTTTAATTGTAAATCCAATTTCGAATTTGTTACGACGAACGTTGTATCTAGGTTAGGATAGAATTAAATAATCCATCAAAGTTGGTACTTGTTGATTATGACGTCATTTTTAATTGTAAATCCAATTTCGAATTTGTTACGACGAACGTTGTATCTAGGTTAGGATAAAATTAAATGGTTCGTCAAAGTTGGTACTTGTTGATTATGACGTCATTTTTAATTGTAAATCCAATTTTGAATTTGTTATATCGAACGTTGTATCTAGGTTAGGATAGAATTAAATGGTCGATCAAAGTTGGTACTTGGCGCAATTCACAAATTGGGGCTCTTTTCTTATTCGATATATTCTAATACACGCAATGACAATTTCTTCGTGCTTCGATGGATTATAATTTTCGAGTCGAATCAATATTTTATTCGTAATGAAATTTTTTTAATTTATTCAAGATCGACGTCCAACTTCTTTCTCGGTTGAAAGTACGATCCAGAAATAGTAATAAAATATTTTTAAATTTACACTTCGAATTCCACATTTTCCTACCGCGATAATGATTGCACGCATATTTCATAGATACAAAAAAATAGCAGTATTAGCAAAACAATTTTGTTACTGCTAGAACTCTGTGTGTAACGCTTATCGTTGTGATAAGGCATTTATCGAATATCATACGTGATAAAAATAGATCAGGCATATAACGGGATACACGTAAAAGTTAATTAAACAAAGTGTTCAATAACAAAACACATAACAGGAGTCGATCGACGATTTGTTGTTAATCCATTCTTGAAGTGTGCCCAGATACGATAAACGATATCGTTGTAATTTTTTCCATCGACTGGAAGGCAGAGTTTGTTGGGTTAAAGTAACGAAACTGGATGATTTAAACAGACAAATTGAACTTATTTACTAAACTTGACAAAGGTGTAACAAAACGTGTGATCGCACAATGAACGATATGCACTACGTAGCACCGAAACCCTCTGTTCTTTTTTGGGGGCACGCTCAGCGCCATCTGCTGAGTATGCAGTGTACAACATGCGCCAGATCCAAAAGCTGGGAATCGCGATTGAAATTCCAAGAGTTTAATAGCGTTTGCAAGCTGTTATCCGTTTGTTTATATAAATAAAACTCAATTGCGTCCGCGTATCGAAAATACGTACGCAACGAAATTATAAATGCTTTCGCGGCAAATGCAAGGTGAAAAAAAGTAATGTAATGACGAAAACTTTCTTCGTCGTATCGTCAATCGGAACGTTTCCCTTGGAAATGACACAATTGGTAATTTTCCGTGCACGTTCGCCGCAGAAGAGAAACCATCGCTCGAAAGATATTTATAATTTGTTACGAGCCTGTGCGTCGCGAAACAATGACTCTAATTATATCTACGATGTAATTAAAAGGGGGTCCCAGCCACGATACTTTGCGTCCCGTAAACGGTGATCTTCAATGAAAGGGTACAACGACTCGCTGCTAATTACATCGCGTAGCGTTGATTTATTTAATAACGAAACATTTTGCCCTCGACGACGCGACGATCGTTTGGCCTTTTATCGTTTGTTCACGACGAAGCAACAGAGATAAAATACCGTTGCTCCGCGCAGGGCTTATCAGATGTAGAATTAATTACTTTTGTTATTAGACGAAATGTAATTCTTCGCGTGCGTTATCCATCGCGACGATTAATTAAACGACAAATGTTATTGCAAAGTTACCAGAGCGCGACCAGCGAAATATTTTTTCTCGTTTCTCTTCCATTGTCCTATCTCTTCGCGAATTTACAAGTTTTGCAAACGTTTCGATATTTTTGCAGCTTTTTTTTTTCTTTTTTACTTTGGTCTCGATTCTTATCTGACGGGGTTTTTTTTATTAAATTGTTGTTTTCTGTACCATCGTGTAGATTAAACGATACAGAAACGTGTACGAAGCTCGATAAAAGTTTGACCGATAACGCGTTCAAACCGCGATAACGTTGGCTACGAAATCTGCATCTTTTCACACTTTCTACTTTTACGATATTTTATTGCTTTGTATTACTTGCTACTGACAAATACTATATCTCTGCAGTTCAAACGTCGAGATAATATTAATTCTTGCGGAAGAAATATTTTACAATTTTTTTTCTTTACTAACGTGTGAAGAACAATCGTGTAATTTCTATAAATTGTATATTTTTGTGCGCGTATTGTGTTTACGAATGTTTGACGATGCGTTGAAGTGTCAGTCATTTGCAAATTTTATTTAATAAAATAATAAAATAAATTCATTCAGTATTAATTTATTTTGTAATAAATAACTGGCGTTTATAATATGTTATTCCAATATTATGGATGGAGATTTTTTAAATAGAATTTTATTGTATAAAATTGAGAAATAAGATTCGTAATGTGCAAATTCAAGGACGATAAAAAACATTTTTAATATACAGTGACAAGAAATGTCACCGAAGAAATTTATTTAATTATAAATTAATACAGAATTAATTTATTTTATTATAAATATCTGACGTTCATAAAATGATATTCCAATATTATG